CTGGGAAGGAGAGCAGGGTCAGATTAAGGTCATCAGGTGAGAGGGAGTTAACCTATACTGGGTGCTTTGTTTTTTTTTTGCAATTAATTTTAACAGCTTTATTAAGATATGATTCCTATATCATACTCATTTGAACTCTGTAAACTCAGTATGTTCTATGTGTTCACTGATATGTACAACCATTACCATTGTGAACTTTAGAGTATATTGTCTCAAAGAGCCCAGCCAGTGTGGCTAAGTGGTTGAGTATTGACCCATGAACCACGCCCCAATTGCGGCAGGGGTTGAGCCTGCAACTGAGGTATGTGCCCTTGACCGGAATCAAACCCGTGACCCTTCATTCTGAGGGCCAATGGTCCAACCACTGAGCAACCCTTTTAGGGCTGGTTTGCATTTTTAGATTTTATACAATCGAGTCCGATTCCCAGTAGTCTTACCAGCTGATATTGAACCTTCTAGGAATATTTGCAAGTGTGTTCTTTCAGATATTGCCGCTATTCCTTCCGCCTGCTCTGGAAATGAATCTGATTTTGAATGTGCTCTCATGTCTCAGACCGGCACAGTCTTGGGTTCCGGTAGCAGCTGTTATTATACCTGACCTTCTGCATACAGGGAGCCCTAAGCTCTTGAGGTAATCGCTTGCATTCATCTTCCTTAATCTTCTTTGCTGGGCAGTGAGAACTCAAACAATAAGGAGTCTGGAGAGTGTGGGAGGCACAGCTGCTTGGGATCCCGGTGTCTGTTTCTCATTTCTCTGGAGTCCGTGCCAAGATGCCCTCCTTGCTCGGTTTAAAGTGTCTGGGGAAATTGTGCGGCTCTGAGAAAAGCAAGGTCGCCTCCTCTGAGAGACCCAGCTCCAGAGGCGCGTACCGGAGGCTGGTGGTCAAGGATGTGAGTGTCAGTGGGAGCCCCTACCCCACGCACAGACGTGCCACCATCACCCACCTGCTGTTCCTGCACCCTGAGGTCTGCTGCCCGTCCCAGCACGTGCTTAGCAACGTTGATCCTCCGGGTAAGTGAGAGAGCCCGCTCTGGACATGGCTGTGTGTTTTCTGATTGGCTAAATAATAAAGGACTATCTAGAACCATTCTTCCATAACATATTCTTCCAAGGAAACACGATGCTTAGTGTGTAATTAATGGGGTGAGGGTGGGAGGAATGGAGACTGTAACTTAAATACAGCTGGGGAGCTAAATTCTGAGGGTGTTTTTGTCCATGATTTATAATCTTAGTAATAAATGTGTCTCTTTGCGAACTTGGTACTAATAATTGTCAAAGTAGGAAGTATGATGGGAAAGAAAGATTTTTAACGATAGATGCTGTTCTTTCATGTGATAGCTGATGAATGGAAAAGAAATACTGAGGGCAGCCCATTGACATGAGCCAAGAATGACCTTGACATGAGGAAAGAATAGCCTTGACATGAGGAAAGAATGACCTTTACATGAGGAAAGAATGACCTAAGTAAAGTTGAGGTCTAAACTGTGTCACTGCCTCCGAAAGGCTCATCTTATGAAATATCTACAAACAAAAGAAGAGAAAGCGTTTATAATGTTGAAAGAACTTGTTGAGGCTTCTTTTCAATGAAGCTCATTGAAACGTGGTCACTGGCCCATCTGCCTGGAAAGAAGTGAGGAAAGCCCAGGCTGAGGACAGGGGAATTGGACCTGGGAGTGCTCAGACTCTGAAGTTATAATGGTGCCTTTATTCATGATGATGACACCCACCCAACCACTCACTCCTTGTCAACATCAGCACCAGAGCTAGTACAGGAGGCAGGAGGGTCTTAGCCACGGGCCCTACAAATATGTGAAGATGAGCCACATGAGCCAGAGAGCAAAACAAATACCATGTTAGGCAGCTGGGAAGGAGAGCAGGGTCAGATTAAGGTCAGGTGAGATAAGGGAGTTAACCTATACTGGGTGCTTTGGTTTTTTTTTTTGCAATTAATTTTAACAGCTTTATTGAAATATAATTCCTATATCATACCCATTTGAACTCTGTAAACTCAGTATATTCTATATGTTCATTGATATGTGCAACCATCACCATTGTGAACTTTAGAATATATTGTCTCAAAGAGCCCAGCCAGTGTGGCTCAGTGGTTGAGTATTGGCCCATGAACCAGGAGGTCACAGTTTGATTCCTGGTCAGGGCACATGCTTGGGTCCCAGGCTCAATCCCCAGGGTAGGGCGTGCAGGAGACAAGATGATTCTCTCTCATCATTGATGTTTCTGTCCCTCTCTCCCCTCTCCTTTCCTCTCTCTGAAATTAATAAAAACACTTAAAAAAAAGAGAGAGAGAGACAGAGAGATAATCTTTGCCCTTTAAAAAACACTTAAAAAAAGAGAGAGAGAGAGACAGAGTGATAACCTGTGCCCTTTAGCTACTACCCCACCCCCACCCCAACCTCTCCACCCCACCCTCAGCCTTAAGAAACCACTAATCTGCTTTCTGTCTCAAAAGATTTCCCTCTTCTGGACATTTCAGATGAGTGAAATCCATAGAATAGTTTTTGTCTAGCATGTTTTCTAGGCTTATTCATATTGTCTCATGTGCCAGTACTTCATTCCTTATTGTGGTTAAATAATATTCCATTGTCTGGATAGACCACGTTTTGTTTATTCATTCATCAGTGGATGGACATTTGGATTGTTTCTGCCTTTTGGCTATTGCAACCATTGCTTCTGTGAACAATCATATATAAGTTTTTGTGTGGACATATGTTTTCCATTTTCTTTGGTGCATACCTAGGAGTGGAATTTCTCAGTTACATAGTAACTCCTATGTTTAACCTTCTGAGGAACCCCCAGACTGTTTTCCAAAGTGGCCACACCATTTTACATTCCCACCAACAGCAATAAAGGTTCCAATATCTCCACAAGCTTGCCAACACTTGCTATTATCTGACATTTTTATCCTAGTCATCCTAGTGTGGCCTCTAGTGGTATGAAGTAGTATTTTATATCTGGCTGTACTGAGCTTTCATTGGAACAGGGAGGGGCTGGCTAGTAGATCAGTGCTAAGGCAGGACAGGACACCAGTCCAACAAGGCTGGTATTGGCAGTTCCTTGGCTCTCTTACTCCCCAACAGTCTCCACCCTTTTTAGGGGAGCTCAGAGTGGGATGGAGAACACATGACGTCTGCCCCTGGCCCCCTTATAAGCTACCCTACCTTTGTTCAGAACCAGTTGGCCATGCCTATTGCAGTTAGGGCACCTCTCTCAAATGTTGGTTTGTATGCTGGCAGATACCTGAAATTCTTTATTGAGAAAAAAAGGTTATTCCACAATTAGAGGTAAAAACTAAACATTCTATTTCCGCTGGAGCTAATGCTTTATTGTGAGTGAGTCTGGTGCTTCTACTGAAAGAGATTCAAATCAGACTCTTGGGAATGAGCTGTTGATGCTCATGAAAGAGATAAGGTCTGCCCATGGGAAAAGGCAGGAAGTCAAAGGGAGACCAGGTAAATAGTGGTTGGATGAGAGTGTGCTGGACAAAAGCTTGTCAGTAGTTTCAATCACAAGAGAACAAGAGAATCAACAGTATCAAAGAGAGTCCTGGGTGAAGGGAAGGGTACCCACCATTGAGATATCCGTATCTTAGTGGAGGCAGATAACGAAATTGAGGTGATTAGTTCACTGTGTGGCTTTGGAGTTGGACATTCCAGAATTTAAGTCCCTATTCTTCTGCTTACTAATTATATTATTTGGGGAAGTTAAATCTCCAGGTCATGGTTTCCCCATCTGTAAGGATGCAGAAGAATGCATACCTTATATGATTGCTATGAGCAGGTCTTCCCCTAGGGTCTATGGGTCCATAAGCCATATATATATATAAAAATATATATATCTTTGTGAGGCCTTTGTATTGTACAAATAATTTGAGTTGCTCCAAATCAGTGTGTCAACCACCTACCTAATCTTGCTCAACTATGGGAAAGAAATGCTATGGCAGCCTGAGAGAGTGAATGTTCACTGGACTTCCTTCCTGGACTTGAACTGGGTCCAGGGCCTGAGATAGCTCATCAGCAGGAGCCCCAGAGCTGCTCAGGGCATCTGGTCAACCTTCTGCCCAGCATAGGAGAGATGTAGAGGATCATGAGAGAGCCGCCTAGAGAACACTGCTGGCCCCAGCTGGTCCTAAGAAAGGGGCTTAGACATTTTGGAGGAAGGTATAGTTTGGGGCAGGGGCTCTGCTTGCCCAAGTCTAAGGGAAGTATTGATTATGAAGATTAAATAACAACATGCATATCAAAGTTCTATAGCAGCACCCACATGCATCCACTAAATTTTAGCTACAAGAGAAACAATAAGATAGTTTATTACTTTTTTAGAAATGATTTCTGTTGTTTGCCTTTTTACTGTTGTGATGCAATAGAGGTCCCCCGGGACTATAAACCCAGCACAGGAAGTGGGATTCCCAGGAAGTGTCTCCGTGTGCTCGGAGCATCCTGTTTAGGACAGGGGCTTGGAGGAAGCGCACCTTCCTGCAGTCAAGCGTGTCCTGTGCTCGTGGAGCCGGGAGCATTCAGGAGCAGCTCCTGGCAGGACACTCGGGGGTATTTGGCAAAGGCCCCCTGCAGCTGCCAGAAAGACCTCAAGATGCCGCGGCTTCCTGTTGTTGTCAGGGCTCAGCTCCTGTTTGGGTTGTGTGGGGCTCCATGCTTTTCCCAGTGCCCCGCCACGAGTCTCTCCTTTGTCAGGCTCAAAACAACCCTCGGAAATCAGCAGGAAAGGAACTGTTTTCCCCATTTAAGAACAAACAAGGAACTGGCAAGAAGCTGGGACATGTAGAGGAAGCAAATGTATCAGGGAACATAAAAGAATAGCTTCTGCACATGGATGTAACCCTCTCTGACTGTGGATGCAGTAACGATCTAGAGCAGTTGTCATTCATTGAGGGCCTGCTTTGTCTCCACCATTGCACCAAGTGCTTGCTAAGTGTCCCACTTAATATTCCTAATAACTCAACAAGCAAGCACGTCTTGCGTTTAGTCCTCCTTTTACAAATGCGGAAACTGAGGCATCTGCAGTTAAAAGTCACACAGGGAGTCCGTGAAAGAGCTAGACTTGGACCCAGGTTGGCCTGACACCCACGTTCAGGTCTTGACCATCATGCTGGATGGTCCCACCCTAGGAGCATAAGGGCAAGTCATCCGTGAGACTTGCTGAGCACGGGCACACTTATAACTAGTAAATAATGTAAACTTACTACCTTAGCTACTCACATTGACGATTCTCTTATAAAATAAGTTATTTGTGCCAGGAAAATTAGCAAACATCTCTAGTTCATAAATATAAGTATCTGTACATGATTTTCTCCTCACCCTACTGTAGGAGCTTAAAGTAAGTTTTTTCATTCGTTTGTTTTAATATATTTTTTATTGATTTCAGAGAGGAAGGGAGAGGGAGAAAGAGATAGAAACATCAGTGATGAGAGAGAATCATTGATTGGCTGCCTCCTGCGTGCCCCACACTGGGGATCGAGCCCAGGCATGTGCCCTGACTGGAAATCGAACCATGACCTTCTGGATCATAGGTTGACACTCAACTACTGAGCCACACTGGCCGGGCTAGAATCCTTGTTCTTTCTGTCCTTGTGAGCTTTTGGGTCTAGCACAAATGAATGAGCATATTTAGGGCAACTTCCTTCTTGACAAACAAACAAGAAGAGGCTGGCACTGTTATCAAAAGCCCCAAGGACATCTGGGAAGGATGCAGTGATTATGTTGTCAGCTGAGTCCAAATCCCAAAGCAGAATGTTCTGCCCTTGAGACCAGGGACCAAAGTAGACATGGCAGTGCCCTCCTGGAAAAGCAGCTCATGTTCCTGAAGGCAGGAAGGTGACTGTGCTCTGTGTCAAGCACCTGCTGTGCAGTACAGTCCTAGGGATCATCTTCATGTGGGATGGTCTCCCCAAGACCCAAATGCTCAGGTTTACCACAGCACTGAGGGAACCTCGTGGGGTTTATACATTATTGTTTAAACACTGAAGTGCTCTCAACCTG